ATAAATGTTAAAGGCCCAAAGTATGTCATGTTGTTTCGTGAAACTTCCATGTATACAACATTTAAGGTGTTATTTAATGTTAAATTATTGTAGTTGGGTTTTATTTATGATGTGAATCTGTTAAGATATTTACATTTAGATATTTCGGTTAATAGAGGCCTACTGTTGGATTCTAAGTTAAAATTGACCTAACAGAAATAAAAAAACAATTCCTTAATGTCCTCAACCTTCATTTAGTGCTTCTTTTTTCCTTAAATGTACCAGTTTAGACACTGTTTTCACACCGGCACCACTTGAAAAGTACTGTTTCAGCATGAGGCTGACGTTGGTTTCTTATTCGGCGGTTTCTTATTTGCGAAATCCGTTCCACCTTAAATTGACATAATGCCTGTTCGGCCATATTCACAGCAATTTACCTGGTCAGAATCAAAACGCCTGTTCGAAAGCTTAATAGCACGTAATACAGCAACCATTGAATTTTTCCATCCAGAGTTTGAAAGTACTTTACTGTAGAATTTAAAAAATAATGCCCTCTGAAATTGGCATATTTCTCCATTAAGACCCATTGAAAAACACTGAGACAAATTCACACAATGTGCCTCATTCACAGCAATTTTTCTAGCCAAAAGAAAAACGTCTGTTATTAAGCTTAATATCATGTGATACAGCAACCATTACATTTACTATACCCAGAGATTGAAAATATCTTACTATAGAATTAAAAAAAATTATGCCCTCTGAAATTGGTATTTTTCCCATTAAGACCCACTGAAAAACAATGTATGACGTGCCTTATATGACATGTGAAATGATGTCTATGACTAAAAAATCCTCCGGGATATGATAAATCCCAAAGACGAAATCGGCGGAGTTATGTGTCAAGGTTCAAGATAAAAGGTTAGTATTATCATGGTAAGAATATTGTGTTTCTACTAACATTGATATGAAATTTTTTATATAGATGATGAACTCCTCTTCGGTAACATAAGGGTAAGAAAAACAGGATGCAAGAAGGCTGTTTGAGGAGTTTCATTCGTCCCCAATTGTTGGACATACAGGCATATTAAATATGAGAGTGGCCATATGTTCTAGGTTTTACTGGCAAGGCATGTCAGTAGACACTGAAAATTGGGTCTGTATTATCCCTGAAAATAATTACATGAGCAACGTATGTCATGTTTAAAATGTGTTTTTGTTTTAAGGTTTTGGAATAGTGATAGTTGGAAAACCTCTGGCTGATGTGCAACCGCTGGAGTGTATTTAGGTAAACACTTCCAAGACATCAAATTAATAGCAGTCATATAATGTATGAAATATATGCATTGATGCATGCTATTGCTTTGATGGGTGTCTGAGGTCTGGAAACTTACTCGGATCGATAAAACTGAACCGCTTCCAAAAACAGCAGACAGATTCCAGTACATATTAACATCAACAGACTATTTTTCAAAGTGGGTTGAAGCCTTTCCCTTGAAAACCAAGTCTGCTGCTGAAGTTACCAGATGTCTGTGCACACTTACAGTAGATACTTAATACCTATATACATCGATGCCCTAAATGAATTCTTTCAGGTCACTGTAGAGAATTTGTAAATGAAGTAAGTTGGGACGGTTAAAGGGAATATATTTGTCCACTTGCCGCAAACAATATTTGTTCATATAATATTAGTTATATATTATTACTTATATTTGCATAAAGATCAACCAAAGGCTTTGTGAAATGCTTTCCATAGAAAGGAGAGTCACAGCAGCATATCATCCCCAAACAAATGGCTTGGATGAAAAAACAAATGATAACATCAATACTTATTACTCTTAGAATATTCATATTTCACATACTCACGCTATACATAAATATATGCTACCTGTGGTTTATGGCCATTAAAGTGTCATAACTAATATCTAAACAGGTCAAATACCTATATCAATATTCTTTCTATGGTGTAAGAGCTACCGAGTATCATTTGCACATCACAGTTGTTGAGTGAACTATTGGGTGACATTTTGCTAACTAAGCCAAAATAGCAGGAATTAGGCTACAGCCCTGGTAGGACTGTTTGGTAGCACAGCAAAAACCGTTAGATGTTGCTATAAATAGGGAAATTCTGATAAGGTAGGAAAATTCAATAAAACACCCAGCACCCCCCCCCCCTTTGAATAAATGTTTCAAAGTACATAAAATATAATACAACAAAATTATAACAAGTAATGTTTATCTAGGTGCTGGTTAGTTATACAGAGCTAACTAACTCCCTGCTAATTAACTTCCTGATTACCAAACGTGCTTTGAACACACATTTAAACATAGAGATGGCTCAATTTTATTCTCCTAAAAGTCAAATGAGCCTGAAGCCATACCCTGCGTTTTCAAACACAGACACGAAAAAGACCTTGTTTTTTGTGCACAACAGGTTACATTCACAAGCAGAACCCGATAAAAGGTGCGCCCTCCTCTGGTCTGGAAGCATACATTTGTGGTGAAAACCAAATTAGTTTTTTTAAAAAAGGTTTATTCCACATTAATAAAGTGGATTTTACCTATGCAAAGGCGTTAGAAACTATGCATCCCGAGTTAATCTCCAGTTACACAGTAGCCGGTGCACATATTTTTAACTGGGGTAGTCCTATCGTGAACTTTTATGCCAGAGCACCGATGCGAATCAGGGAATCTTACCATCCCTAGAGTATCCCTTCCCTGTGGGCCTGCCCCTTATCTAGGGGTGTAGGACTGACCCAGTTTCTGCCTGTCTCCCCCCAGCGCTGGTCCATCTGCCATAGGCGCTCTAATCCAGCCTTGTTAAGGCCACCTGACCCCCACCCCCAAACCCACACCAGCATCTCTGAGTGGTATCAAAAACTCTAATAAAGAGGTCAGTCAGTTTTCAGGTCCGTAGGCTTCACCCTGGTTCCATAACCCTCACGCTTAGGCATTTTGTGACTGGGCTGCTGCTGATGCCCCCTGCTGGACATGCATGTAACAGCACATTTATATCCCTTGCTGGCACCCGTTCCTACTCCGACCTGATCCTGCCCGTTCCTGTCCGACCTGATCCTGCCCTGCCCGTTCCTGTCCGACCTGATCCTGCCCTGCCTGTTCCTGCCCAACCTGTAGGACTAATTCCTCTGGCTTCTGACCCTCTTAGCACAGCTTCCCGGTTTATGATTCTTGCCCCACGATTTGGATCCTATTTGCTTGGCCCTCATTAATAAACCTTGCAGTCTCCTGCACCTGGGTCCACTGTGTCCCCTGGCCTCATTTCATGACACCCTAGCTCTAACCCTAATATGAACCCTAACCTGGATTGTTCAGGTCAAGGAGGTAGGCCCACAGTGATATACCTAATGGTGCCAACGAAACTGTGGGTCTGGTCTCCCCTCTCTGCAGCTACAGAGAATAATGCACATCACCTTCTGTGACTGTGACGCTTTATATTCATTTGGTATTCAATCTTAGTCTGGATTTGTACTCTCTGGACCTGAAATTTCCACCTCTGTCGGCTGGATCTCACATTGGTACCACCAAAAATCGTCTTGCATTGACTTCACACTTGGTGCCAAAAGGGTAGAACGATGACGTGAGTGTGTATGTGTCGCTGTGGGAGGGGCATTGTTTCGTAAGTTAAGATAAAAATAGGAAACCGTGCCAGATGCCATGAAGGCAAGATTTTTTGAATTTACTGCAAATGCTTAAATTATTTTTAGCTTTATTTGTTATTGTTTCCAGCACAGTTCATTCAAAAAATCTGAGTGTCCTCGCGAGCCATTTCAATACATCTGCCAACGACTTGTCAACGACGAAAATGTGTCAGGAAATGTGTTGCTATTTCGATAGATTAAACAGCGACATCTGGTGGATTGTCGATGTTATACTGGATACTGTTACAAATGTACACCTTAGTATCAATTTCAATGTTATCCAAAATGTAGGCTAACCAAACTGCAGTGGCAACTTATTTGCAAATGGCATTTACTTTATGGGATGATATGGTTTCAAAACGTCACCAAATAGAGAATACATATATATATGTAGACACGTAAGTTTACTTGGTTTTCTCCCTATTCTAAATCTTTATTTAAAATTATGTGAATGTGTCGGGAAAAGTGTTGCTATTTCGATACATTAAACAGCGATATCTAGTGGATTGCAGATGTTATAGCAGGCAGCCTGGGTGAAGAGAAGCACTATTACCAACATTAAATACAGTAATAATAAAGTACATTGTACATTATTGTACAACACTGTACTCCCTCGAAAAAAATGGGATTCTGACGTTTTAGCGTAAGTCTCAAGAGATGATGGAGCAATGAAAAAAATATCATCCAATATAAATCATGCTTTTAAATACCCATAAAAGGACGAGGGATTTATGAAAAAACAAAGTATCACTGTTTTTCTGACCGAGCGAAACAACTGAGCGGTCAGCTGTAACAGCGGATACAGGGAGACCATACTGTAATCCATTCCCATCATATATTAAACGGAGGCCACGATACACATCATTTCTATCGTTATGTCATGGTGGAATAGCGAAAGTTACTGAACTGGATGGGTTGGTGACATTTTATGAACGCGAAATATGTGTTGCATACACCGATTCCTAATAAAAGTACACTATTACAGAACTACAAAGATGCAATTCCATGCTGTAAACTGGCTCCGGAGCTTCCCGCTATGTTGCGATGTTCTGAAGCGTCATGGAGTGGCCGTGCTCAGATGGTTAAAGGCGTGTTCACTCCAAATTCCAGCTGACCAATAGACGTGTAAGCTGCTAAGGCCCGCCCACCCGTTAAACAGTGCCAAAAGTCAGAAGAAAAAAGCATTCCAAAAGCAAAAAAAAATTGCAGAAGCAAAAAATAAATAAATTCAAAAGCAAAAAAAAAAAATTCAAAAGCAAAGAAAAGCATTCCAGAAGCAAAACAAATTAGAGAAGAAGGAAAAAAAAATATTTTATTCAATTTTTTTGATATTTGTAAAACATATTTTCATTCTGATACTTAATGATTTGCTTGCGGTTTTCAAAATTTTGAATAATACTTTTGGCACAAAATTAACTCCACAGTAACACCTGTTATGCTGAATCGACCAATCAGAGAGCGCTATCCAGCGCGATTACATTTAACTTTATTTACGTTCGAAATTCACTTACTTCTTGTGAATCAATTTCACGGAAGCAAATTAGATGATGGCGCATCACAAAATGTATTTCTCGTGCGGATTCCTTTGCTGTTGGACCAAGAAAAAGGTATGCCTTTTTTATTCCAGTTTAAATTTTATGACCTGACAAATTTTGTTGTTAACGGTGGGATAAAACAGGGCGAATTTGTGGAAATGTGTCGAGAAACGTATTAACGCAACATGGGCGCCTACCCTTGGCATTTAGACTTGTAGTTTGACTAACTTTAAGATTTTTATTTGTTCCCCTCGTTTAAGTTAAGAGTAGCAGGGCTGTAGGATTCTGTATAAAATATAAATCACGAATTTTTTTTTCACTCACAATTGAGATGGTGATTTTTGATCACGGTTCTTCTGCAACATGTTTCTTTCTTGATATCTGTCTCTGTATTCAATGACTCCAGGGCTCTCAAGTGTCACGCATTGAGAGTGACAGTCACTCTTTTCAGTCTTTTGTCACG